CACTTCCTCTCTTGTTCTGATACTATCTACCATCTGTTTGACTATAATTCCATTTCCTTGGCAGCCAGGTTGCAGAGTGCAACTGTAACAAGCAATAGAGGTAGGATGTGGTTCAGCAGTGTGAATAGCAAATGCCATGCCAATATAATTTTATGTCAGATCAAAGATTAATTAATCATAATACTTCAACTCAGCAATGGAGAATGATCCTCAGGTTTCAATACCGCTCTTTTTGCTCTTCATAGTTGTCCGGTGGAACATACTTTCTTTTGTTGGAGAAGATTAAAACAAAAAAGCCTTTGTCTTTCCTGTATTTTGGTGCTTCTTTGGTATGCTTTTTTCATTTCCTTTTACATAAAATATATCCAGAACAAACATTTTGGGGATGGTCTTAAAATCTTTTACCAACTTCAGCTCATTTTGAGCTTAGCTTTCTTGATCCAAAAGTTCTCAGTTACTTGTGTCTCTTTTTGTTTTTAAATCTTCATTGATTTTTTTATGTTGCATGCTGGATTCTTCCTTGCCCTTCATTCTTTTTCTCACTGAGGTCCAATTCATTTGGAATTGTGCTTTTATTATTCTCCCTCTTTTTTCTTTCTTTCTAGGAACTCCATTCATTTGAAGCTTTGTTTCCCATTGCTTCTGCCATGGAGTCTTACTTAACTTTGCTCTTTGAACTTCTTTGGAATTCAAAATGTTTCATTACACTCATCTGCAGTTTCCTTTAAAATCAAAAGAATTTGATTTCCCTTAAAATCAAGATCATTTTTCTCCTGTGTTCTTGCTACTTCCACTTTCTCAGCTAAGTTAATACCAAGTAAATAGAGTACAAATAATACTTATGTGCTTTCCTTACTCTCTAAAGGAGAAAGTTGAGGCATTTCCTGGAAGCCTATACTTGGCTGAGTTGATTTTTCAGTAGATATCAGGGTAATTAATCTCCATCAGTACTACTTCCTACTTGGCATGTATGTAAAAATCAACTAGACCACTGGTAGCAGAGCCTTTATACAATAATTCCCTTTTAAGATTATAACAGTTATTTCTGAGTTTTAATCAGAAATCTTGTTTTCATTGGGGTTTTTTTTTTTCATTTTCTTTCTGCTGCCTTTTCCTATACTGCTCTCTATAGGCCAGACTGATGTTTCTCTTACACGCAGCTTTCTATTTCTCTGTCATAATTTCTACATGCCCTTAAGAAAATATGTTGGCTTTATTCCCGCTTCCACTTTTTTTTCTCTCCAGTCAATCTGCTGTCATTTTGTGACTTCTTTCTTTTCATTATTTTAAAATAAAATCACCTCAGTCTCCTTTTAGTGTCTGACTTCGCAGCTTGAGTTGATGCATAGGAAAGTCTCTGATTGCACCTTTAACAATGGACGTTGCTGCTAAGGCACAGATTGTAATTTCTAGAATAATAGTACTGAAGTAATGGCCTATTTTCTATAAGCAGTAAAGGTAAAAGGTAAAGGTGTCCCACAGGTGTTACTCCCACTAGTTGTAGCCGATTTTAGGGGGCAGTGCTCATCTCAGTTTCTTTAAGCCAATGAGCCAATGGTGTCTGAAGTCGTTTCCATGGTCATGTGGCCAGCACGACATCATGGAGCGCAGTTACCTTCCCACTGAGCTGTACCTATTTATTTATTCTCATTTGCATGCTTTCAAACTGCTAGTAGGTTCGCAGAAACTGGGGCGAGGATGGGAGCTCAACCTGTTGTACAGCGCTCCAGTCTTGAACCTGGGCTACTGGCTTTCCAGCCGACAAGCCCAGCCTTTTAACCACTGAGCCACCACACCACCATATGGCAACTATAAGCAGTACAAAATAAAGTTTAAAAAATATATAAAGATACGAATTCTATAAAATTATAGTATTAAAACAAAGTCCAAACATGGACTAAAGAGAATATTTAAATGCTCTTTCAAAAAAAACCCTACAAGATTTGAAGTTAAGAACTGGATAGATTCATTAAAAGATAGGTGTCTTGGAAAACTGGAAATTCCTGCAAAAGGTATTTCAAGGAAGTAGACGTTCCTCAATAGGACGCTTAAAGTAACGCAACCCTCACTTTATCCCTTGCTGGGACAGCAGTAGGCTGTTCTATAGTACACCACAGGTAATCCTCAACGTACGACCACAATTGAGCCCAAAATTTCAGTTGCTAAGTGAAACATTTGTTAAGTGAGTTTTGTCCCATTTTACGATCTTTCTTGCTCCGGTTGTTAAGTGAATCGTTGCAGTTGTTAGTAATACAGTTGTTAAGTGAATCTGATTTCCCCATTGGCTGTGCTTGTCAGAAGATCACAGAAGCTGTTGACATGACCCCAAGGCATTGCAACCGTCATAAATATGAGTCAGTTGCCAAACATCTGAATTTTGGTCACATGACCACAGGAAGGCTGCAATGGTCATAAGTGTGAAAAACGGCCATAAGTCGCTTTTTTCAGTGCCATTGTAACCTTGAGCAGTTACTAAATCAACTGTTGTAAGTCGAGGAAACACGAATGAACCCAGCAATGTTATAGGAAGCATGTTGTATAAAGTTATAAATGAAAACAGTACTACCATTGGGGCCCCATGTTGATTGGACAGTCAAGGATAAACTTTTGAGGATGTTTCTCAATAGCAAATTAAAGATCTTTCCAAGAGGCATACAGTAGTAGCAACAGGGGAATTTAATTACCTGCCAGGCACAGTCCTTCCAGGAAGTGCCTGATATCTTTCAGAGAGGGTGGAGAAAAAAAATGATGATTAGCTACATTACACTAATCAATAAGAAAGTTGAGTAAGTAAAACCCTGGCCAGAAGTTTACAGAAAATTACATTCAGATACTGATTGAATGTTTAGAATTCTGAATGTTGGGGGGCGGGAAAAATCCCAACAGAATAATTTGATCAATTACCCAGGGAGGCGGGTGGGTTCTCTTCGTTGAACAGTTTTATGCAGAATCTAAAAACCTTAATATGATTCTATGAGTCTGTGAGTCTGCTCACTCACAACTCTAATGCTTAGCATAACCACGGATAAGTAAATTACTTATGTTCCATGCCTACTACCCTTGTCACTATTCCCCTTCCTCATTTGCCTTCCCACTGCCACTATTTAGAATAAGTTATTTGGGAGGAAGGACCGGGTTTTTTTTTTATAACCAATTCTGCTAAATTCCAACTACCGGTATATCAGTATGCCCAAGACATATAAAATACAATGCTTTCTCTGACTGATCACACTAATTGACTGGATTCACAGATTGTGTTAAGCTATAATATGATTTATTTGCTTTTTGTGGCTTAGTAAACAGTTGTGGATAAGCCAAGCATGGTTAAATGTGATGTTGTGAACCCAGTCATTCTGTTCTTCGTTGCCTTCTGTATTTTTGAACAGTTCTGCTGTCTTCTTTGTCTCTTAGTTACCTTCTCTTTAGTTTGCTATGTGGAGAACACAAACGCACCCTTTTCCTCATAGCTAATAATCACCACACCCAGCTCTGCTGGTATTGTTGTCCCAAAGTGTTATCTTATGTTTGTTTGCTCTTATTTAAACTGTAAATGCTTCAGGGCAGGGAGCTAGCTTTATCTCTGTTTGTCAAGCCCTCTGCAAGTTCATGGGCCAATATAAGTGTTTTCAATAATCCACAACAACTGTAAAATAGGTCACTTTAGAAAAAGAAGCTATAGGGAGATGAGAGGGTAGGTCAACTCCATACTTCTGTTAATTTTTTTTTTAATCTTGCAAGAAGCAGCTATGACAAAAAGGATTATTGTTAGGTTTGGGGTGATATTTTGTGGCAAAGAACAGTTTTCAGTTGCTGGCAAGCCTAAGATCTCTGCCATGTTATTGTTCCATTGCATCTGATTTCTTTCAGAATAATAGAAATCAATTTGCAATCTACTCTAAATAGCATTTCAGAGGGCTGCATTAAGCATAAAGGAAAACCTTAAGAGCATCTATGGTGCTGATTGTATCCAGTTACAGAATCATGTTAGGAGTTTTAAAAAAACCCAGTCTGGCAATCAAGAGCAATAAAAAGAGCTGTTCTACTCACTCATAACTTAAAAAATTCTACCCCTACCTCTTGTCCCCAAAATATGTTGTATAAATTTCGGGAGTTCCTAAACTATAGAATCATTGGATGGGCTTCTGGGAATTCTAGTTGAGGCATATGGAAGGCAGTCGTTTATCATATGTGTGTCGTACACACATCCACAAAGAGTTTTTCTTTTCACTAAGGAAAAGGGGCATTCCAAGAAAGCCCATTAGTAACACTGGTTTTATAGCTATTTATAGATATAGATTTAGGGCATATGCCTCATCTGTCAAAGTAAATCTTACCAAGTTACAGTTAATCTGTTTCCAACTGCATTTGTTTCTACCCTATAGAATTTTTTACAGCAGAATTTTGTGGCTGCTAAATGGGTTGACAATAATCTCCCATCATTCCTGGCTACAACATGGGAAAAGCTCTTACACATAATTAAATGGAAATAAGGCCTATTTGAGATATTTCTGAATAAACATACAAATGCCGGTTGGGATTTATCTGTCTTTATTAAAGTCTTCTTTTGGGTGCTATCATTAGAGCCTGTTTGGTCTAGTGGTTAAGGCATCTGGCTAAAAATTGGGAGACTGAGTTCTAGTGTGCTTGAGGCATGAAAGATAGCTGGTGACTTGGGGCTGGTAACTCTCAGTCCAACTTCACAGGTTGTGGGAAAAATAGGACGAAGAAGGAATATTGATATATTCACTGCTTTCAGTTATTTATTAAAATAATAAAGGCATGATAAAAAATATAAACAAAGTATACCTGATTACTGTAGAATTTAAGACTGTCTTGGGAACACCTTAAATATCTGTGTATTCGCTTTATTTACAGATACTCAAGCAGATCATTTGAAAGCATTTCCAGACCAAATAGCCTCCTATAGGACACTATTATAGTCAATTTTAAAATGACTTAGCGTGCTCTATTAGTCTACTAACCAGCAAATTGGTTGGCAAACAAAGAATCAACATCAGCAGCAGATTAAATATATAGGTAAGAGGGATGAAGCTGTTGCACTTTGATGACCAGCAACCGCTGGAGAATCAAAGCTTCCCAACCCCAGCCTTGTTGAAAGCGGGAAAAGTAAGATTGGGGGATTTCATTGTGGCCAATGTCACCCATTATATTATTAATATAATGAGGCACCAGGAGATTTTATAGTGGTTGTTTGATTTCTTGATGTTTTTATTGTTTTGTGAGACACCCAGGGTTGTGGTTCATAATACAGGTGGCTATGACAGTCTTTTAAATTAAATAAATATTCTTTAGGATTGCTGCTTTAAGCCTCTGCAATTTTGTTTCTTTAATTAAGGTCATACTAAAACTTATAAAGGAATTTCCTACCTGTAAAGTAAATGTGAATTTGCAGAAGCAGAATTTATAAGCTTGAAGGATCCTGCATCTGTCAACTGTAGAAGCTTTGTCACAATCCTCTACTTACTGGCAGTATGATGTAATGATACTACCTTGGCCTTAGAGCAGAGAAATTTGAATTCAAATCTAATGCTTGCTTAAGCAGGCCACTTTCAAGAGTTTTGAAGATTACAATTGGGTTAGGGTTAGAGTACTTTTGAAGAGAGATCGGATATAAAGTTATCTTATATTTATAAACTTAGAATAATCGCATAGGACTTTTTCTTTGGAAGAATGGTATTTTCTTTGTGCTAAAATTTTCCATAGTACAACTGTTCGCCAGTAACAATAGTTCTTTTATAATTTCAGTCAGAATGCAGTTTCCAAGAAGGCAAGTGAAAGAATTTAAGATGATTTTTAAGCCAGTGTTGAAATGTTTCCAAACTCTGGGTGTGCAGGTGAGTGTGTGTTGCTGGATTGTTAGAATGTCTCTTGCTACTCTTTTGAAATCCTATCTAAATGAAACTGAATTTACATGGAGCCTTTTGCACAACTACTTGGAGATGAGGAGATCTAGGGTTTGTTTTTTATTATTTTTTTAATAAACTTTATTATAAGCCTGTCCCATGGTTAGTACTATAATTTGGAACAATATTTTAAAGGCTATAAGGGAACACGTTTGTTTTAATGGGTGATATTTAGTTGTTTTCTCCTCTGCATAGTTTGAATGGATAGGGATTAGTTTGTTAGCTTTTCATGAACATAATTTACTCATTTTAATCTCCCAAGATTTCAGTTGGTGTTGCTATGTGTTTTCAAATCTGTTTTTCCAGCTGCTAAGTCAAGATAGTCAGAATGCTCCGGTTTTTGCTCAAAGGCATAATATACCTCCTGTTTTTTTTATCTATCATTATTAATCCATGCTTTGCATAGCCCAGGCTCACCATTATTCCCAACTCAACCACTACACACAGAATGAGCACAAAACAGTTCTGATGTGTATATATATCTATGTTTATTTAGTTAGTGTTTGCGTTAGTCATGTCCAGTGTCCACTATTAAGACTGAAGCTCCCAGAACTGCCAGCTGACATGGCCAGTTTAACTAACCCAGACACCAAACCCATTAAAAGGATTGAGACATGGAAGTGTCATTTTATCTCTGCATCTCTTACTCATTAATGTAGCTATAGCATTCAGGAGAACATATAGAAGCAATTCTGAATAGTTGGGAAATCATCGTGGGTGAATTACAAGAGAGAAGTAGTGATGTGTGGGAAAAAGCTACCTGCGCTGGGAGCATAATAAGAGACTATGTAATAATAATTACTATTATTGTAACAAGGGTTGGGTACCTTTCTGAGTAAAAAGTGTCCGACAGTAACCTTGCTTGGTTTGTTTTCATCTGTGAGTAAAATAGTGGTTATATACATCTGACATTAATACTCATGGCCAAAACAGAATCCTGGCTCTTGATCAACTATGCATATTCTCTTCAAGTGTATGTAGGCCAGACCAAATAATTAATTGAAGCTCTCATACACCTTTGCCCTATGCTGTGCAGAAAGTCTGGGGTAGAAGATAGAAACTGGCTCTGAGCTTCAATACTGCTACAAGGGCTTATCCTCAGGTTTACCTCCTTTTTCAAGGCTAGAATCAGTTCTAACCCTGCCCCAAAGTAATACCCTCTATCTCAGGGGTAGGTAACCTTGGCTCTTTTATGCTGGCTCAGGAATTCTGGGAGTTGAACTCCACGAGTCATAAAAGAGCCAAGGTTGCCTACCCCTGCTCTATCTGCAGTGCTTCTATACCCCTCCCAGACTAGAAGCTGCAACGGGATTTAATGGGAAGGGATAGACTTAATTCAAATGGGAAAGGAAGATGGTTGAGAAAGTCCTTTCCTGTCCCATATCAAAGAATTGTTAGAACAGTCCCCTAGGACTGTTCTAACAATTCTTCTAAATGTGATGAGTGTGACATGCCAACTGTTGCTTGCACTGCACCATTGGTGAAAGGTGAATTGTTACTTTTCCTTTGTGATGAGGATATAACTGTAAACTAAGTAGGGAAAGTAATATAAAATGCTTATATTCCCTAGGCTATTTTATTTGCTTCTGAACGGACTTGATCTGCTTCACTTTAGACATGTTGCCTAAGAATAATGCAGTTGGAATACTTGTTTTACATGTATGATTCTCTTCCCCTCTGAACAAGTTAAAAATGATTAAAGTTTCACTGCAGAATTCTAAATGTGATAAATAACTAAACAAATATTTCTTTTCATTTTACCTAGTCAAACATTCTCTAATCATTGTTTAATAGGCTTTTATGTTGAAGTAGGTTCCAAAAAGAGGCATTTGAATCTGCAGAGGTGCAATGTAGCCCCCGTGTATAATTCTTTAAAGGAGCCACATCTTTTTCCAGATTGCTTTGTACAACTAGTACATAATCCCAGGGGGAAAAGCACAGCTGCTTTAAAGAATTGTACACAGGTGCTATGTTTGAACAACTGCGCGCTTGTAAGCACTGCCCTATTGTTTATCGCCATGGTTGATCATCAAACATTAAAGACATAAGGTAGCTTTTCCCAAAGAACTGCCTTCCAGAATGCACTTCCAGTAGTTCCAGCCAGAAAGCCAAAAGCCTGGTAGAATATAGAAAGGGGGGCAGTCTCCTCTGCATTGGTCCTCATTAAGCATCATCTGTTATGTGCTTAAACCAATATTTGCATTTTACAGTGGTGTTAGCGTGATGGCATGCATGTCAGATACCAAATGTTTTGGAGATATATTAATCCAGGTTTTTATGACTCTGCAAAATTATTGAGGATGTGTTAAATTCATTCTTTTGCAAGCCAGTATATACAGTATGTAGTATGTGTATTTGCCATGCAAGATGTGACAATGGCACATTCCAAAGGGAAAGAAAGGAATGCATGTGAGAACGAGTAAAAAGAAACATTGAAATTGGAAATCCGATGCATTTACATTCTTTTCTTGCTGTTAAAAGTTAGGTTTGGAAAATCTAGCTAAAATCTAAACTCTAGCTAAAATGCAGCAGAGCTTCGCTGAGTTGTTTTATTTGGTGAAAATGAAGGCCACTCTGAATTTATACATGTACTTTGGAAATATTGTGTCAGGCCCCTCTTGCGATTTCTAACCAGGAAAAAAGTACACAGGGTTCACTGAGTAACTTTGACTCATTGTGACTTCATAAAAATGTTCATATGATTTTCTTGACTACAATACAAAAGTGGTTTGAACACACCCTCATAAAACACTAATCCATTGATGGCATTGTTTAGTCATTTATAGCAAGGTTTGCACTTGCTTTATTTGTGATGATCGTCATCTTTCAAAATTTGATTGATGTTCAGTTAAACATGTGACAAAGACTACTGCATAATATGCACGAACATTAGAACACAGAACATAGAACAATAGAGTTGGAAGGGACGTTGGAGGTCTTTTATCCAACCCACTGCTCAAGCAGGAAACCCTATACCACTCTGGACAAGTGACTGTCCAGTCTCTTCTTAAAAGCCTCCAGTGATGGAGCATCCACAACTTCTGAAGGCAAGCCAGTTCACTGGTTAATTGTTCTCACTATCAGGAAGTTTCTCCTTAGTTCATTAGAATGGGAACATAAGGCTATCTATACTTCTTTTCTGAGGCAGAAGTTGAAGATGCCAAAAATGCCATGTTTGGGCCAATCAATAGCCTGTTATTTATAATTTCCATTTGATGCAAGGTTGGTTGATTTGTGGGCCAATTTTTTATCAGCCAGAAAAAATAATGCCAGAAATCTGGATTGGCATTAGTGCTCTTGCTGGAGTTTACTATTTTCTAAACAAGCCAATTAAAAACAGCCAAGTGCACTTTTTTATCTGCTGAAGCGTGTTTGGATATTTTCATGGCTGGAAAAAAACATTACCAGGTGAAACTGATAAAACCAACATTAAAAAAGCCGAATCAAGTAA